TTTTTTTTATCCCAGGCTTTCATTTTCAATGAACAAATTCTTTCTCTTTCACAATATCTATTGTACCTTTCAGATTTTATTTACTCTTTCATGTTCTCACACTACAAGACAATATTATATTTGTACATGTGAATCTGATTTATTTGACTTACTAATACAGTCTCTAGCTATATTCATTTATCTATAAAAGCCAAGAATTTATTGTTGTTATATTTGATTAATACATCATTTTGTAAAAATACCACCTCATTTTTATCCATTCCTCAGTTGATGCAAACTACATGGGAAATACTTCAAAGAATCAATAATTGGGATCTCATCATTTTGAAAGGTTTCTGCACACTAAAAGAAATCACCAATAGAGTAAAATGAAAACCCATGAATTGGGAAATTGTAGCTGACTGTGCCTCAGGCAGAGGACTCCTATTAAAAAAATTCAGCCCTCCAAAATTCAAAGTTCCAACCCAAAAAAGTGCATCTGAGATGAATATACACTTCACAAATGAAAAGATAGAGATAAAAAGCAACAACAAAAGCTCAACATCATTTTTATTTAAGAGATGTGAATTAAAACAATGCCAGTACTATCTTACTATCCAAAAGGCAGAAAGAATGGCTATCATCAAGCAGTCAACCAATAACAATTACTGGAGATGCTGTGAAGAAAGGGAACCCTTCTGTGCTGTTGGTGGGAGTGCACGCTGATAGAAACATTATGGAAAGCACTATGGAGATTCCTCAAAAAGCTAGGATTGGAGGTTCCAGCTATTCCTTTCCTAGGTATTTTTCTAAAACAACTAAAATCATCATACCACCATGATAGGAGCACCCATGTTTATAGCAGTACAATTTGTCATAGCTAAGTCTTGGAAACAATTCATACACCCAAATGAGGAATAACTGACTTCTTGATGATAACCATTTTTCTGGTGTGAGAGGGAATCTCAGCATTGTTTTAATTTTCATTGCCTGACTGACCAATGATTTTGAACATTTTTTTCATGTACTTACTTGCCATTTGTATTTCTTCATCTCAGAAGAGTGTATTCATCTCAGATGCCCAGTTTTTTTTTTTAATTTGTGGGATCTGATTTTTCTTAATTCTTGATATATTCAAGATAGAAGGTCTTTGTCAGAGAGACAGATATAATTTTTCCCAGTTTGTGGGTTTTATTTTTCTCTGATGGAGATTTCCTTTAAAATGAAGAAACTTTTCAAAATGATGAGATCCTGGTTGTTGATTCTTTGAAGTATTTCCTAGGCAGTTTGGTTTTAGTTTATGAACTCTCTACTTAGCCAAATGTCTTTAAGATATTTACCTACTTTCTCCTGCAGTAGATTTAGTGTTTCCAGTTTAATATTTAAATCTTTAGGGCTTGCCAAATAGCTCAGCAGACTAAAGTGCTTGCAAGCAGGCACAAGGGCCGGGGTTTCCTGCCACGCTGGCCCCAACCCCAGGGCATGCCGAGATGGCGATTGAGACTGGGTGTGGTGGAACACACCTGTAATCCCAGCTCTTGGGAGGCTGCAAACAGGAGATTCACTACTAATCTGATCTAGTAGTGAAACCCTGAACACCCTGTAGACCTTTCCCTAAAATACGGAAAATAAATAAATAAATAAAATCTTAGATCTATTTGACTGTAATTTAGTGAGTGGTGATAGATAAGGATCTAATTTTAGACTTTGACACGTGGAAAGCCAGTTTTTCCAGCATCATTTATTAAAAAGGCTATTTTTCTTCCAGCAAACATGTTTGACTCCTTCAGGAAAGATAAACTGTGTGAGTGTGGTTGTCATCTTGTCTCCATTTATAATCTATTACATTGATCCTCCAGTCTTTTATTTTGCCAGTATCATTCTGATTTTATCACAGTAGCTTTGTAGTATAATTTCAAGACAGGGATTGTGACGCCTCTTGTCTTTCCTTTATTTCCTAGGATTGTTTTTGGTATTCCGTATCTTTTCTGGTTCCAAATAAATTTGAGGAAGGTTATCTCTAGCTCTATGAGGTGCACTGATGGTATTTTAATTGGGACTGCATTGAATCTGTATAGCAATTTTGGGAGTATGATCATTTTTACAATGCTGACTCTTCCTATCTAGGAGCATTGAATCTTTCTCTGTTTTCTGAAATCCTTCTCAATCTGTTTTCTCAGAGTACTATAATTTCAACTATAAATCTTTTCCTTCCCTTGTGATATTGATTTATAAATCTTTCTTTCTCTTTCTTTCTTCCTTCTTTCTTTCTTGTCTTTTTTTTTTTTTGGTTGGGAAAGATATAGTTTCCTTGATTTCTCTC